ACGACGTCGGTCGCTACGCGTTTCTGTATTTTGGTTTTGGATTCAGATTTTATTCAAAAAAAATGTCTCTGTCCCTTTTTCTTTCACTACCAACCGTTGATGGTAGCGGTTGTGGTTTTGGGTGGTTGGGTTTTTCTTTTTCTTTTTTTCATTTAGTTGCTAGTACATTGTTTTCATACGCGTTAATTAGCTGTTAAGGTTTAAATTTAGAAATTGTATTAAAATTACCACATTCTATGTACTCTCACTACATTAAAGATATTAAATAGATAATTTTCCTTAAATTTATATCATAATATTATTAATTAAAAAAAATATTTAGCTTTGACTGATAGCAGTTGTAATATTGTATTTAAATCTCCTTTCGTTGTCCGTACACTTCTTAAGAGATATATTAGACCCTCAATCATAAAAATTTAAACAGGTCACACTTAATTAGAGCAAAACAAATTGGAAAAAGAAAATCTTTTGAGAGGAAATAGTTCTGAATATGTTAGATATTTAATGAGGATCTCGTTTGATTATACTATGCATTGAACAAAACCTAAATAACTAGAGTACTAGAGATTAGCTGATTGAACTCTGCCACATGGACAATTAATTACTGAGATATCATCAAATGTAGAATTAATTACTATCCTTTTGTTTTAATAAGTTTAATCATGAATACACTAATAAGCAAGCCAATAATTAAGTCGTACTCCCACCCGCTCATATACAAAAAATCGTTGTCGATACTGAATTCTTTGTAGATTTGGGTTACTTGCATTCTTATTTTAAGATTGCCTTTTAAGATATCAAGGCTTACTTGGAACAGAGAATATATATATATATAATGGTGATGATAAGCTTAATGCAGTGCATATAAGCTCATTAAATTAACATGATTAATCCACACTTAATTTGCTCTATGAGTACAAATAAAGCAACAACTTAATTTGTTAGGTGGGTTAAAGAGATATACTGAAAAGAGATTTTAGGTTGTTGATAAAATTTAACAGATAAGCAACGACAAGATCGAACGCATCAGTGTTAGTTTCATTTGAAGTTGTTTTTTAAAGTTTAGAGGTGAGCTAGTAATGAATGTAAACTTCTGCCCAAAGGTTAGGGAAGTTAATTTTTTTGGAAAATGTACTCTTTCAAAATATTGTTTTGGCAATTAAACACTAGAAAATAACTTACTTTTTAATATATATATTTTTCCTTATGCTAAACACACCATACCCTTTAAATCATTTATCAAAAAGGGGGGAACCACATTGGATTAATCGAGGAAAAGCACTGCGGCTGTTGCAATTCAATTAGTGAAGCCTATCAAATACCCCTCCGATCCACTTTAATTGAATTTTTTGGCATTTTTTTGTGATCCATTATATTTGATTAAATTCTTTTTTTCAAAGTTGACCTTGAAGTGAAGAGCTTAAGCCTCATTTGTTTGTTTTTTTAAAGATTAAGACGTCTGAATCTGAATATCAAGATGTGCATTAAGATTAAGACATCCAAATCTGAATACACATCTGAATATTAAGACGTGTATCAAGATCTAAATACTAAATGATTAAGACTATTTAGTTTTTAATATCTGAATATATAAAATTTATCTTTATTTGAAAATAGCAACTAGAGGTGGTGGTTGGTGATAGTTTTGGTTGATGGTGGTGGTTCTGGGTAGTAGCTAGTGGTGATTGGTAGTGATAATAATTATGGTTGAGGATAGTGGTGGTGAGTGGTAATAATTAATAATGGTGGGTGGTGGTGGTGGTTGTGGTTGTGATTGAGGAAGGTGGTGGTAGGGGTGGCAATGCGGCAGGGCGG